TTTTTTTTACTTTTTGTTTGACATTCGGTGCTCAGTGCTATAACCATGACAAGAACATTACGGTTTTAATTTGCAGAAGTTTGGGATAAATGAACTTCAAAGAATCTTGGGCTTACAACTAGTCATTGCTGGCGCTGTGGTTATTGCATTGACTGCATCTTATAATGGCACCCAATCAATCTCCAGGTAATGAAATATTCTAGTGATATAAATAGGCAACGTAAAATATATTGAGGTTCTACAGGATGCAATTGTTGGAATTTGGATGTGGATGCTTCTACCTTTTTGGTTGATGTTGCAAGGTCACATAGCGAAGTCATTCATTAAACATGAACTGATCTGATTCTAAGGTGAAGCATAACAAACGATCAAATTAATGATATTAGAAAGGATGCCTCTGACAAATGAGAGAAGTAAAAGAAGGAGAATAATTTTATATTGTCTGTTGAGTAGGACAAACTCCCAGCATTTATAGTGGAAAGTTGTAGGAATGAATTAAGATACATTATGTAATAAATATAAACTATCTACCTAGTACCTACCTTACAAAGATAAATCAAATTAATTCAATCTACATAATAAGAAGATCTACATAATATTCTTACATAAGGAAAATATACAGAAGCATTCAAATACTCCACTTCAAGTGGGAGCATACATATATCATCCATGCCAACTTGTTTCATAGCTCAGAAAAATGCTCTATGTTTAACGCTTTTATACAGATGTCAACAATTTTCTTGGATGATGGGGGTAAAAGGAGTAACAATCTTCTGGCTCATGACATATTCACAGATAAAGTGGCAATCGACATTTTGTTCTTTCATAAAAAAAATGGTTAGTAACAATGTGAATGGCCGCTTGGTTATTAGAGTACATTGCCAATGGTCATTATTTGTATATCCAAGTTCTTCGAGTAAATTCAATCATAAAATCTAAATAACAGTATGGGCCATGGCACTATACTGGCCCATGGCACTATACTCTGCTTCAGCACCTGTGGTTTTCTTTTTACTACATCATATCTCCAGATGTCCCCCAGCATAAGTGCAAAATTCAAAAGTGGATCTTTACTCAAGTGCCCATGTCTCTAAAAGACAAATCCTTTTCCAGGGGACTTTTTAATATACTTCAGTATCTTAAGAGCAACTTCCAAATGAACTTGTTTTGTTTGTCAGAGGAACAAACACTCTACCTGCAAACAACAAGATGTCAGAAGAGTTGTTAAATGGGTGAGTTTCACCATAAGATGTATATATTTTGCCCTATCCTCTAAGCACTCGCAGTTAACAAGACAAAAATTCAAATTATTGTCGGCCTTTTAGGCTATGTTTGGTAAGCCAAATAAGCTAAGCTTATTTGATTAACTTATAAGTTCTGTATATTCCAATAAGCCTCGTTTGGTAGAACGAGCTTTTGTAAAAAGTTCGTAAGCTACTTTAGGTAGCTTTTCAAATAGGTAGTTGAATTTTTTATTTCAGCTAGCTTATCAACTAATTTTACAAAACGATTTTATCATATAAGCTAGCTTTTCAGCTATAAGTCATAAGTTACAAGCTATATGGTCAAAAATTATATATAAGCTATAAGCTAGCTTAGACAAGTCACCTTGAGCATGTTTAAAAGTGTACTTCCGTAGGTATAGTGATACACAAAATAATCACAGGCTTCTGAAACAGTTTTGAATCCAGCCCGTGTTTGTTACTCATAAATAAGCTGGAAAAGTTGTGACAAGTTGAACAAATATATAAAATATTAATTCATTTTGTTGCGACATATAGTCGACTTATATTCATTTATCACGTCTATTTGTCAGATTTTTTTTATACTCAGGGGAACTTTTGGTATTCCATCTGAGTAAGGATTGAGAGCAATGTCAGGTGGAAACAGAGAACTTAGATGCACTCAGACTTTAAGAACCTGAATTGACATGGCCAAAACACCCGGCGAGCCTCCGAGCTCTAAAACAAGACACGGACCCGGCACGGACCTAGGCTCGTGTCCGGTCAATGGCCCGGTTAACCGGGTCAGCAGGTCGGGCCATGTCATCATTTTTGAAAAAAAAAATTATATTATAAAAAAGAAGAATATTAGAATTGACTTGGGCTTATTTGACATATCACAAGTTAAAATATCTATTTAGTTGAATTTTTTTGGGGTTAAAAACAATATTTTAAATGTCAATATGTCAATTAAGTTGTCTACGTATCCCTTATCTTGAGAACCAAAGTCCTCGTAGTTCTCTTTTTTGTACTTGCCTTTTAGGATGCGTTGTTGAATTTATCGACGCTCTAATTATTTTACACGTAGTCGTCTTCATTTCCGGTAACACTAGTGAAATCAGAACAATCGTCTTCTATATCCTCTTCGTTAGTTAGCACGGCCGTTTGCATCATTTGTTCTGCTTTCCTCCAATCACCAAGCAATATTTGATTCTACAAGTTTTGTGGTGTCAACATTGACCGTCGTGCGGCTAACGTATATCCCCCTCGTTAAATGCTTGTTCAACGACCACTGTTGAGGCCAGGACAACGAAAATCTTCTTGGCCATATTGCATAAAATAAGATAAATTTCACTCAATTTTTACTACAAGTCCAAGACATAGAATTTGAGTGACAGGGTCGGTGCACGAGCAATGTTAATTTTCAAATTCGACGAGAGGTAGTGTTCGAGCTCCTGGTATCCAGTTCCCTTTGTCCTTGGGATCGAACCACCAACATGAGAAGAAGTCAACCAATCTGGCTTGGTGCGTCGTTTGTCCCGCATAATATGTAGAAGACCCATCGAACCTAGACATGGCCACGGGCCTCTCGGCCGGTCAAGCCCGTTGACCACGGGACCGGATTTTTGTCGGGCCGTGTCAGGGTCATTCATATCATATCATTACCTTATCCCGGCGGCCCGGGCCCAGCCCGGGCTGATGGCCCATTTTTTTCAATTTTTTTTATTTTTTTTATTTAATTGGGCAGGTCGGTCCGTGTCTTCAGAAAATGGTCACTAGAAAAAGACAATAAAAATGCAAGTGGTGGACTGGTGGTGGCTGTCATCAGAAAATAAAAAAAAAAAGTAAAAAAACGAAAATTGGCCCAAGTATGTGGGCGGTGGGCCATGTGTTGTCAAAAAAATATAAAATAAAAAAATAAAAACATAAAAAATGATAAAAAAGCAAGTGGCACTGCCATTGTGCAACAGTCCAAAGTCCAAATTTTACCATTTTTTGTCCGAAAATTGACCGTTGCCTAGCAAATCTTTAAAAAAAAACGAAAAAAATGCAAAAAAATTTGGAAAAATCTGTATATGTATAATTACTGGCAGGTTTCAATAAATTTTATTCAGCAAACAATTAATAATAATATGAATTCATTTAATAAAATTAGGTGTTCATTTAATTAAATTATGTTCATCATTAATGAAAATATGTAATTTTCAGTTACACAATTGTCAATTGACAGGTCTCATTTTTGATGGTGCTCATTTATGTAATGCCTTTTTCATGTCCTGAAATACAAAATATTTATTTTCTTATTTAGGTACTATATATTTTTTGATATTTTATGGATACATATTTCACAACTAAACAAGAATGACTAGAAAATCTCTATTTTCTATTGCAGTATTTTTTTCGATATTACAAAGATTCATCAAATATTTTTAAAAATCAAATCCCAAAGTCACGAATCGAAGAGGTTTAACAATAATGTTTGATGTGATGGGGATTCTGACGGTAGGAAAACAATAAATGTTGTATATAAACAGGTGCTTTATCAAAATACTTAGATTTATTTTTTAAATTGTCTTTTTTTCTTTTATTTATTAAGTTATGATTATTATTTTAATTTGTATTTTTAATTACTTATTCATCTATTATATCGATTTTCGTGCAAATCACGGGGTAAAACTAGTTTCTATAACCCCTTCAAATCAGTGTTTTTTTTTAGAACAAACTCTTAGTTCACCACTCTCACCATCTCCATTCTATGTTTCTAACAATCTAAGTGATCCTTTTCATTTTTGTGCTCGTTTTTTTTATAACATTTATCCGGTTCTATATAAATTCGGTTCCAATTATAAAAAAAACTCATATTTCGGTTTTATCATCTTATTCACCTCTCCTTTTATCATTTTTTGTTGCATATTTTTCTATAGAATGTCAAGTTTTCGTGGTAATGCCGGCAGTCTTCCCCTACAAAAGCGTAAAAATGTAGGTGACGCATCTTCGAGTAGAACTCTAGTGCTGAGGCAAACTTAATTCATGAATGTCTCGGGTCTACATGATGATGTTGATCCATAGACGATCAGTCACATGTTTCACATGTTTCACTCTGTTGATGAAATAGAAGATACCTACTGCTAGACGTGGATGATGACGACGAGACCCAGCCGTATGAAGACGATTTTGATCCTACTGAAGATCGTGGAGAGAGTAACCAACCTCAACCTCCGACACCGACGGCCGACAGCGGTAATAAAGCTAAAAAATCGGATCTTCGTAAGGCATTTCACAAAGATGCCCAATCCGGAAGTAGGCGGCAAACATTTTATATGTACTTGCAACTATTGTCCGGTCAACTCGAGAAAACAGTACACAATAAAATCGGCGATGGGTACGGATCCATGCAACGGCCATACAACGTCATTATCCAGCCGAAATGGGTATTCCTTTAACTCAAACGCAACTCCTGACTGGTTTTGTGCAACAGGTACGTCTTCAATTGTATTTTAATACTCACATGAAAATCATAGACGTCATCTAGGTGAATATGTTTGTGCATTTTCTTTTTCTTTCGGTTTTGGTGGTTCCAACTTATATGAAAATTTTGTTCAAACAGAAAACTCAGCTGCGCAACAGGTTCCACGTACTTTACTCATCTGTCATATTCAAAAAATTGTGGCTAAAAAAAAAAAAAATTGATGCAAACTTTTTCTGATTTACAACAGAGTTTCTATTTGTTGTGATATTTAGTTATAAAACTATTACCTATGAATTATTTGTCATTGGATTGATGATTATTTTCAATTACAAAAACGTTTAATTGCTTAAAATATCGCTCGTTTGATTTCACGTGTCACGAATAGTTATAACATTGGTAAAAAATAAACTTTCCATATCTTTTGATAATTTCAGTACTAATACTGCATCCATTTGTCAACTTCAACTATATTTTAAACCCATTTGTGGGGAAGATTTTTTTCACATTCGTTGTGTATGCCATATTCTTGATATTTGTGTTCAAACTGGTTATAATGCTTTAAAAAACTCGATCACGCCCATTAGGGAGGTCGTCGTTTATTTGAATCATCGTCCTTTAAAAATGAAACCTTGGAAAAAATATTTTGAACAAAAAGGTATTAAACTTAAAAAATTACAACTGGACGTTTCTACCAATGGAACTCAACTTTTAAAATGTTGTTTAGAATAAACTATTATGCTAGCCATTTTGAAGCGTTTTCAAAGTTCGTGATGTTAGAGTAACTATGCAAGATTGGATAAATTGTGAAGCTATACTGAAGTTTTTGCAAACATTTCAAGATGCTACGAACATACTTTCTGGTGTTCACTATCCTACATCCCAGAAGCAAAAGGTGCCGCACTTTTCCATGCGATTTCTTCATCCCTAAACATTTCATGCAAATTAACTTTTTGTAGTAATAGGTCAAATAAACATCCAACTAAAAATGCGTTGGAATCTAACAAAAATATTTTAATCATTTTGATAACATTTATGAAACAATTTTGCCGTATTTTTCAAAATCATTAGTATAAATATCCTTAAAAGAACACATTACCGCTACACATTAAGCAACCACAAGATGAGATGTAGGATAGTGAACACCAAAAAGTATGTTCGTAGCATCTTGAAATGTTTGCTTCACAATTTATCCAATCTTCCATAGTTACTCTAGCATTACAATTGGTACGCTCAAAACTTTGAAAAAACACTTTTAAATGGTTAGCATAATCGTTTGTTTTAAACAACATTTTAAAAGTTGAGTTCCACCAGGTAGAAATGTTCGGGTTATAATTTTATATGTTTAATACCTTTTTCTCACAATATGTTTTCCAAGCTTTCATTTATAAAGGACAACGATGTAAATAAACAACGGCCTCCCTAATATTAGGCGTGATCTAGTCTTTTAAAACATTATAACCAGTTTGAACACAAATATTAAGAATATCGCATATACAATGAATGTGAAAAAATACTCCCCACATATGGGTTTAAAATTTAGTTGAAGTTGACCAATAGATGCAGTATTAACACTAGCACTATCAAAAGATATGATTTTTTTTTTTTACCAATGTTATAACTATTCGTGACACGTGAAATCAAACGAGTAATATTTCTAGAGGTATGATTACGTGAAATCAAACGAGCAATATTACTAGAGATATAATTAATATAAATGACGTGTAAGCAATTAAATGTTTTTGTAATTGAAAACTATTATCAATCCAATGACAAGTAATTCCTAGGTAATAGTTTAATAACCAAATATCACAACAAATAGAAACTCTTTGTTGTAAATCAGAAAAAAGTTTGCATCAAAATTAATTTTTCTCAGCCACAATTTTTCAAATATCACGGGTGAGAGTAGTACATGAAACCCGACGCGCAAGGTTTAAAGCCATTTGATCAAAATTTTCATATAAGTTGGAATCACCAAAACCGAAAGAAAGAGAGGATGCACAAACAAATTCACTTAGATGACGTGTATAATTTTCATGTGAGTATTGAAATATAGTTGAAGATGTACCTGTTGCGCAACTACCAGTCGGGAGTTGTGTTTGAGTCGAGGGAATCCCCATTTCGGTCGGATGATGAAGTTGTATGTACCGTCGCATGGATCCGTACCCATCGCCGGTTTTCCAAGTGTACTGTTTTCTCGAGTTTGGAGTTGGCCGGACAGTAGTTGCAATTACATATAAAATGTTTGCCACCTAGTTCAGGATTGGGCATCTTCGTGAAATGTCTTACAAAAATTATGATTTTTTCGCTTTATTACCGCCGGCGGCCTTCGGAGTCGGAGGTATGATCAAAATCGTCTTCATACGGCTGGGTCTCGCCGTCATCCACGTCTAGAGGTTGCTACGGTTGCTCAGTCAAGTAGGTATCTTCTTCTATTTCATCAATAGAGTGAAACATGCGATCGATTGTATATGGAACAACTTCTTTGGTAGACCAGGACATTCATGAATTCAGTTTGTCTTGGCACTTGAATTCTACTCGAAGATGCGCCGCGTACATTTTTGGGCTTTTGTGAGGAAGACTGTCGGACACCACCACAAGAACTCGATATTTTATAGAAAAATATATAACAAAAAATGATAAAAGGAGATTTGATGAAGATGATAAAACCAAAATATGAGTTTTTTTATATAATTGGAACCGAATTTATATACAACCGGAAAATTTTTATAAAAAACGAGCACAAAAAATCAAAATGATCACTTAGATTGTTAGAAACTTAGAATGAAGATGATGAGAGTGAGGAATTTAGAGTTTGTGGTAAAAAATGATTTGAGAGGGAAGGTATTTATAGGATTTTTTTTTTTAATTTTTTAATATTTTATAAACAACGGTCAATTTTCAAAAATAAAAATAGGGTAAAACTTAGACTTTGGACCGTTGCACACTGCCACCCACACCCACAGTGCCACTTATATTTTTTTTATTTTTCTTCCGACCCCTCGTGGCCCGCGGCCCATATACTTGGGCCAATTTTCGTTTATTTATTTACTAGTACAACACCCGTGTATTACATGGGTGCTTGCTAATTTTTTTCTTAAAATCTAAAATTAATGAGAAAAAGTAGTTTGAAAATTTAAATACCTTTTATAAGAATATATATATTATTGTATATTTATTATGACACTTTTTATTTGTGCAACTTACTTGTGTTATATTATACGATTTTTTTTTTAACTTACAATATATAACTACATTACATATAAATATATCAATTGAAAAATAATTTTATTTTTTTAATGAATTTTAATAAATATTATTATTTTTTATTATTATAAAGATAAATATAATTTATTTATTTCATATATATACAATATGTATGTCAAATCGAAGATCATCAAAAGATGATTAATTTGATATATTATATATGTAAAACCGATAAGAATTACAAAAGTTATCAACTTTAAAATACATTTATAATTCAATAGCTTATTGAAGGAAACAAATCAAAATTCAGGGATATATTAGTCACTTAGTGCCTCACTATGGAAAATTACAAAGAATTAAAGGGTTATATTAATAAAAGTGATATTAAAATACCTAAATTAGATATATAATATTTATGGAATACCCGAACCTAGATTATTAATTATTAATATATCAATATTATTTATCCAAACCTAATTACGAAGCATGATTCTTCAACAAATAGGATTCCGAAGCACCAGAAGCAGTCACGTAGGCTCAGCGCATTCGGGAATTATATATAGGGAGGATTTATTTGCCAATGACATCACCAGTCTACCACTTGCATTTTTTTTTACTGACCATTTTCTACTGGCCCAACCCAACCCGGCCCAATTAATCAAAAAAATGAAAAAACTGAAAAAAACCCGGCCCGTCAGGCTAGGATCATGATATGCATGACCCTGTAACGGCCCGACAAAAAATCCGGTCCGGTACCGGACCCGTGATCAAGGGGCTTGACTGGTCCGGGCCGGGAAGCCCGTGGCCATGTCTAACCCAATGACAGGGGGGTGCAAATATTTGGCCTAGCATTGTTTTATCTATAATCGTCGTGAATAGTTTATGCACCACCCAATGAGGAACACATGGAAACTGTGTGCTAAACTCACATTGGTGACTTATGGAGAAGGGTTACTATTAAAAAAGAATGAATGTAGAGTTACAGTTCGTTGTATAGGTGACATATGGAGAAGGGTTACTATTAAAAAAGAATAAATGTTGAGTTATGGTTCCTTACTTCTAAGCAAACTTGGGGAGGATATTGCTTGTTTGTCTGTAGTAATCTTGCACATGGAAAAGAAACAGTCGGTTGTCTGCAGGGTCTGCGAGCCTAGTGTCGAAGCTAAACTAAAAGCATTGGTGGTAGCTTTTTATCCATGAACATGGGTCATGCCAGTTATGGTTTACTTGGATATGAATTTGTAAATCCTTTGACTTTTAGATAATCGGGCCACTATCCTCATAAAAGAGGATCCCATTCATCACAAAATCACAAAGCATGTGGTGATTTCATTTGATAGCTGAGAGGAATGACAACTTGGAGTCGCGTTATTCCTTGAGACATGGCACTTGGTCATTAACTCAGGTAGGTCATGCGCATGTCTACCAGCCATCAGCTTGTAGATGTCCTGACAAAGTCGACCCTAGGATCCAACTTTGAGGAACTATGTAACAAGTTAAACATACAATCTATTGAACCTGACTAGATGGTGAATTTAATAAGTTTCTCAAAACTAACCCATTTGAAGTGACTTCATGATTATTTATTGAGTGATGTTAGAGGCTAGAGAATCAATAGTTCATATTTGATCCATGTTTTTTAATTTAATAATTTGTTTTCGCATATCTCGGATATGTTACTAACTCCTTGAAACGTGTATGTTAGAATGTGTTATTCTCATATTATTCAATACAGATACACCTTTGAATAGCAACATAAGAGATGCATCATAATTCGTGTTGTTTGTAATCTTGTGATCAAATGTACATTCCTCTGTTTTTGGTATTGAACTTCATTATATTTGTAGCAGCATGACGGAGACTGAAATACCATATTTCGATACTGAGATCACAAAAGAATCAAGTCCTATGGCTATTGCTCTTGCCAAACATTTACGTGCCATTGGAGCAAAATTGTATGGGGCTTTCTGGTGTTCGCATTGTCTAGATCAGAAAGAGGTACTTGCGATTCTGCTGAACTTTTCACTCACAATGTACTTTGGCTGCTTGTAGAATCAATCTTTTTCTTTTCAAACTTTCCCGTTTGTTTAGTAAAGTCGGATTTGTTCCGACAAGCATTGCTTGTATTATGGCGACTTCTAGTTTTGAAATTCATTGGAACAAACAAAAGTGACTTAGAATATCTGAGACACTGGTCAAAGCAATCCAGAAAAATTGAACAAGTTCAAAGGCACAGTGCAATAGATTGATTAACAAAGAGTGCTTCTGGTAAATTTACTGCAGATGGAAGTATTACTATTCAGTTACCCCTTCTATCCATTAGATATTAGCAAATGGTTTAGTGTTCCAATCACATTTCACCCATCTATGAAAGAAAGAACTAACGGAAACTAGAATGTGATCGATGCCTCTTATCAGATTCCACAAGTATGTCACTAGAAATGACTTTAAATCGCAAAGGATGATTATTTTAGGACCTAGCAGAATTAGTATTATTTCTTGTTACAGTTTTCAGTTAGAAATAAGAGTTGTAAGTCGATAAGAATTGTTTTTTATGCTGATTGAAGCACGGAATCCTGGTTAAGAGGATTACCTGCAACTGCACCAATTTAGATTAGGCAAAGTAAATGAAAAAGACTATGCAGAAAATATTTGTTGAGCATGCCGGGTTTCTCTTGGAAAACGCCTCCAATGGCCCCAGCCCCATTAGAGAGATGATTAATTTTCTGTTAGTATTTGGAGTGCATAGGTTAAATTAGATCTTACCTGATGCTTGGAACTCTTATTTATTGTGAGAGGTCTTGCATGCATGCAAACCATAAATTTGTAAAAAGGATGCTTGTGAGTTGGATCACCCAGCCTCCATGCTGGTGATACTGCTACAAGCACCTACATTCGCCCTTGTAAGGCAGCTTGAGGATTGGAAGTAGAATATAACTAGGCCAAATTCCTTGCTAGCAACCTTATATGCATTGGCGTTTAAGTTAATATTTATATCTGTCAATCAGGCTAATTATATCCGTTTTCTGATTGCCATCATAATAACAGATGTTTGGGAGGGAAGCAGCAAAGTTATTGGACTATGTTGAATGTTTCCCTGATGGAGTAAGCACCGGAACTAAAATGGCGCACGTCTGTTCAGATGTTAAACTTCAAGGGTTCCCCACCTGGGAAATAAACGGCCAGGTCGGTTAGCCCTAGAGTTCATTTCTTAAATACTTTGTAAGTGAATTTTTGTGCTCTTTTAATGCATCACTCAACTCATTTTTTTTGCAGATTATGAGTGGAGAGAAGCAGTTATCAGAGCTTGCTATGTTAGCCGGTATCAAACTTGAAGATTCAAGTCCACCGAACTGAGATGCCTTTTGCCCTTGCTTTTCCTTATTTTTTTTCCTTTTTCCTTTTCTTCCCATCTTTCAGTGAGCTAGTGATGACGAATAGCATGATCCGGTAGAAAAGTCCCTTGACAGGATTTTCTTCTTTCAATTTCTATCGAGATCTATAGTAAGTAAAATTTTCCCAATAGCTTAAGATACATGTTTGCAGTTACCAATATGCTTCCATTTGAGCATAGGGCATAACTTCAGTCGAGGAGTGTAAGCTTGATTGTCACTGTTAGAACTGCCTCACGTTCTGCCAGTCTACGTGTTTTCTGAAGATGTACAGAGCTAAGAACACCAAAACCGGGACTGATAAACTTGTCATTAGCCTTCTGGAAATACCTGTTGCCGAACTACTCATCTTAATAGTCCTACTTCGCCTTGTATAGTAAATTAGAACAGTGAACGATGCTGTACTATAGCTTACAGGTCAAATCATGAATAAAATGATTTTTTTTTTTTTTTTTT